ATGCCAAATTTGAGCTTGTGCTTGCAAATGACCTTAGATGGATGAAGACAGAGGGCTGTGGAACAAAGGCCACAGAGTGAGCAGCTCAAAGATTATTACATGGTACATTGAAGCATGTGATTGTGTGCAGCTGAGAGGCTGTGGAAGAAAGCACTGGTCATTTTCACTGGGTCATCTGGGACACCAGGTCAGCCAGTGGGGAATTCCATGAGGCTGCAACATGACCTCAGGAGAGAACGTATGCATGTGTGCTTGTGTATATATGGAGGTTAAAGTCAGTGCTTGAGGGCATGACCGAGAACAGCTTTTTGTGATGGGAAACAAAGGCTAGGAGGGACAGAGAAATACACACAGAGAGAGAGAAAGAAAGAGTAACAGATAGATTGGACTTTTCAACACAACACAAATAAGCACTCCCTCGGCCAAAGCAAAGGATTTTTTTTTTTAAATGTGTCAGCTCAGCACATTGCTAAAAGAGAAAGAGAGAAAGAAAGAAAGAAAGAACTGGAAAGACAATGGTTGAGTAAAAACAAAAGAGAAAAACAGCAGGCCATGGCCTTGAGATGATCTAGAGTTTGGATAGCTTGGTCGATCTGTTTCCAAAACCTAGCAAGCTGCCTCACTCCCTACTGCCTACATAGGCATCTGTTTTCTAAAGCAACTTAGCAACATACTAATGCTAAACTCTTTTAAAATGATTACACTTTAAATCTGAGATTTTACATGTGTTTGGTGTTAGAAAGCAAACAATATGATACCCCACCATAAACATACATAGCATACGCTCAAGTTAAAATAATAATTTTTTAATCACACTGATCTATCTTTTATTAATAAGTGGCATTAAAATTCTGGCGGATGATTATTTTCATGGTATAGTCGATAACCACTAAATGGCCATGAATTAAATTTATATAGGCCTACAATTTTGCATAAATAAATTACAAATAAAACACTACAATCTTTTAAAGTGAATCACCTCATCCCTAGTTTATTTCACCACTTGACATTTCTTTTGTCTTGTCCACCATCTTGGACTTATTTTTTCACTGAGCTTGTTGAAATGCATTATGGGATTACCTTCCCCGCAAAGGACACATATGTGAGGCTGCTGTAGAAAGTAAATAAATCAAAGTATTCTAAAAGCCAGTATAAAGTTACAGCCTACTTTTTGTAACCTTTGTGTTGGCAGTGCAACTACACTACCAATCAAAAGTTTGGGATTACTACGGTGGCCGAGAAGTGCAAAACAAATCACAATTCTGAAAACAAAATAACAAATTACAAACGCAAATGCAAGTCTAAAAAACAAAATAACAATTCAGAAAACACAACAACAATTCAGAAAACATTATAACAAGTCAGACAACACAATGACAAATTCGAAAACAAAATAACAAGTCAGAAAACACAACGACAAATCCGAAAACAAATTAACAAGTCAGAAAACACAACGACAAATCCGAAAACAAATTAACAAGTCAGAAAACACAACGACAAATCCGAAAACAAATTAACAAGTCAGAAAACACAACGACAAATCCGAAAACAAATTAACAAGTCAGAAAACACAACGACAAATCAGACAAACCAGAAGAGGTAGGTATAGTTTGAGACAGCACCATTGGTTTGGGATTACTCACCGCTGACTGGACGAGACAACAGTCAATCAACGTATACAGGAAGAACCAGCCGAAGAACAGCAGAGTCGTGGTAGAAAGTTTGGAGATGGTATTAAAGTAGCTCAGTTTAAATGTATTGTATGAATTGTCCTTACTCTGGAATAAAAAATACGGGGTGTCTATTTACATTTAGTTAAAAGTGGCTGTAAATCATTAGCTCCAGTGGCGCAGATAGATAAGCATGTGTCATTGGCTTTTTAACGCGATATTGCGTTTTCTGACTTGTTATAATGTTTTCTGAATTGTTGTTGTGCTTTCTGAATTGTTATTTAGATTTTTAGACTTGCATTAGTGTTTGTAATTTGTTATTTTATTTTCAGCATTGTGATTTGCTTTGCACTTCTCGGCCACCGTAGATTACTTTTTTTTAAAGAAGATTGATCATTTTATTCAGCAAGGATGCATTAAACTGATAAAAAGCGGCTGTAAAGATTTTATAATGTTACAAAAGATTTATATTTCAAATAAATGCTGCTCATTTGAAATTTCTTTCAGCAAATCAGCATTTTAGAATGAAACAGTTTAAATTTTTAAACATTTAAAATAACAGTTTAAAAAATGTTTAAATGTTTACATTTAAATTGCAATAATATTTCAAAATATTACTGAATATACTGTAGCTTTAGCTTTAGTCTGTGAGCATGAACAGTAGTGTACATGATGCCTTAAAATGCTCACTAGGTTTTGAAACGGAGCAAATATGACTCATACATATGTTCAAAAATGCTCTAAAAGTTTACATTTTTCTGTTGTTTCTCCATAATGTAGAAGAACAGAAGTCCCTGACTGTGACAGAAATACCATAAGAGTGGCTGTGACCTTTCCTAAACTGTATTTGCCATTCCCTTTCCCTTGCTTACTTGTATTTGCCCACTTTCCTTTTTGTTTCCTCTCTCACTTTCTCTCTAGAGCCCATGCTAACAGCCACAGTGAATCCATCAGCATTTGACAAGTGCAGTCATCCAAGAGAGAGAGTGAGCTGGACGTGGCCCCCAAAATATTGCTCTTTAAATGCAATGTTTTGCCAACAAACTTTACCAAGCTGGAACATATTAGGGCCAAACTAGAGAGCTGGAGGCGCAGGAGGGGTCAGTTGTTTGCTAAAGCACTCTAGGTACTTTACTGGCTGCCTCCAAAAAAGGAAGTCATACATAAACTGATGGGTTATGATGTGAATGGATGCGTTCTAACCTATTTTTTGCTCTAGTTGCTCTTTTGTGTTTTGTATAAATCACATTTTGGGCTGTGAAGAGGTTCACTCTGCTCGTAAGCCACCCATCCATGTTCCTTTGCCCTCTGACTCCTCTTAATGTACCCTTTAGTGAAAGAGATGATGAAACCATTAGGAAGGAGAGCCTGCGCTCACAGTCTCTGCAGATTCTGAGTTCATTTATCCACACAAATTCACAAGGATGCTCGAGGGCTAGTAGTACTGTGCATGTAAAATATGCAAGTGGAATAAAACTTTTCTATTGTTTCAAATGTTTATATTTATAAACTGAAAGTTGTTACATTGCAGTTCAAAAAGTGTCAATAAGATTTTCTTTTGAAAGAAATTAATAATTTTATTTATCAAGGATGCAATAAATTGATCAAAAGTGACAGTAAAGATGTTAAAAAGTTTTCAATGTAAAAAAAAAATGCTGTTCTTTTGAACTTTCTATTCATCAGAGAATCCTGAAAAATGTGTATCACAGTTTTCATAAAAATATTAAGCAGCAAAAGTTTTATCAACATTGATACATCATAAGAATAAATCAATGCAACATAAATGCAGCATTGTTGAGTATAAGGCATTTCTTTCAAAAACATTAAAAAAATCTTATCAACCCCAAACTTTTAAACACTAGTGTATATGACAGCCAATCGAATTAGATCACTGAATACAGCTTATAACCATGTTGGTTCTAAGTAAGGCTCAAGCTTGCCACTGATATTATTACCTCTAGTCTTGCTTTGGGGCTAAGGTTATGACCCCACAGCAGCAAGAGAAGGTCACACCAGGCCCCATAAATCTATGTATGTATCCATGGGTGGTGCATTCATTAGCTCTAAGTTATAGTCTACCTCACCCCAAACTGAGCCTCTGTGTCAAAGACTGTGTTGACCAACGTTTCCAATGACGTTTTCAAATGCATTTTGACAAACTTAATCACTATTTCTATCTTCTATCTTTGAGTGTCAGAGAAATTGGGTACAAACAAAAATATATGTTACATTGTGAATTAAAGTATTTGTCAGATTTGTTGTGAACCCATATGTTTATCCATGCTTGCTGGTTTAAATCCAAAAATGCTGTACTGCAAATTCAGAAATGAATGTACATCATTCATAATTGCCAGGGTTTGCTTAAAGTCAGTTGCTTAAGTGCATCAAAATGGAAACCATAAATCCTCCACTGTATTTTATTGTGCTGAACTGATATAATTCACATTTAATGCACTTTATTACAAAAAGCTGAGGCTAATGTTAACCTCTTAGGACTACCTGGGACTCCAGACTATCTCCAGACATCTAATAGGCCTATATTAATTTATATTATGTTGCAGGAAGTTCAATGACTGAAACTCAAAGTTTGGATTCTTGGATTCAATGTTTGGAGTGTCAAGCCAGAAGATCCAAAACAACAAAGTTTCATCAGGTCTGAGTGGAGTAAAAAAGCTGCATCAATGCAAGTACCTATAGATGCAAGTATTGTGCACTATTACTCATTATTGTAGCCCTCACAAGCTTACCATGAACATTTATTAAGTACTCATCAACCAATCACTTTTCTCAACCTCTCTTCCTTAAACACACATTTAGGCCTACATCCACAGAAGACACTACTTTCACATCTACTTCCAGAAATGTCCACCCTCAAAGACATAGAAGCATGACTTGTCTGGACAAAATCTACCAGAAACAATGAATAGATAATTAATATAATTCCCTGCTGGGGGGAAAAAACAAAAAAACAGCTAAAACCAGCCTAAGCTGGCTGGTTTTAGCTGGTCACCCAGCCTGGTCATAGCTGGTCAGCAGGCTGGTTTTAGAGGGTTTTGGCCACTTCTTTAACTGGTCAGGCTGGTCTTAGCTGGCAGGCTGGGATACCAGCTGGAACAATTAGCTAAAAAAAGGTTCTTGATAATTAACAAGTTAGCTATTAATATAAATATAAAAACCCACTGGGTTCTCAAAAACTGAAGCCTGGGGTGATACAATAAGCTTACAATCACAAAGTGAGTTTTTAAAAATATACAAGATATACAAATAATAGATCATCCAAGAAGACAAACCTATACTCTAGAAGATTAAGAACCTAATTTGATGTCCTACCTGGAGCAGGTTGTATCTCCACTAGACCTCCAATCATGATAAGTGCCTCTAGAATTTTCACATGATGTTCTGGGTTTACATCCGCACTGGAGAGAGAGAGACATTTTAAGATTAAGTATATAGTCACATTATGGTGAAAAGTGACGTTGAACCTAAACAAATGCTCTAATAACTGCAAGTCATGAAACATGGATAGTTCAGACAAAAAAAAAACACACACACACACACACACACACACACACACACACACACACACACACACACAGTACAAAACACAACAAGAATCAAGTCAGTCATAATCTCACAAACACATAGGTCATGTCTTGAGTTGCAGAGGCTGATCCACGGGTGAACTGCTGACTGCTTGTTTACGGTCAAAACTTGTTTGGATTTTTAGAGGCGAATGTTCATTTGTTTATGTATTCAGCTGTAATTCAGGTCCTGTGATGCCTCAATGACCTCAGGTAGTGTGTGAAGCTGATGACTAACCAGAAATGACTGTTTGAGGCATAATGCATTCTCTCTCCCTCCTTTCCCTCTCTCTCTTTCTCTCTCTCTGCCTGAACTGCCCCAGAGCCATAAGACAATTGACAGGCTGCTAAGAGCAGGGAAAGTCCCACTGGAGTCTCTTGGCAGAGGGACAGGAAAGCAGCTCACAATCGAATAAGAGTGAGGCGACTTAATGGACTAAAATGTGCTGACTGAGTTAGCAGTGACTCACTTGCACACTACTCTTTATTATGTGCACTAAATTCCTTCATTCAGGAGGGCACTTTATAGAGGGTGTGATGTCATCATCTGTTTAACTGTGATGAGATACAAATCTCTGAAATACCAAACTAGCTAAAAAGTACTATGGTACATATTATATGGACATTTATTATTAAAATGCAAAATAATTTAATAACTCAATAAAATACTCAATAAATATTTCTGATTATTATTAATTTGTGGGTAACTATGGCGTACCTCTTTTCCACAGTCACCCTGTGGTAATAATGATTTATTTAACCTGTGGCATAAGGAAAATTTGTAAAAAAAAAAATTCTATTCCATAGTTAATAAAGGTGCAACAATAATATGATCATGTATTATAGTCTGATACCGAGGTCTGGTACATAATAATAGTCAGGTTACATAAATAGCGAGTTATCAACATTCACTCTTGGTACACTTCAAAATGGCAAGTACAAGGGATTGTAACATAGTGCAACTCATTTTAATAAGCATTCACATCTGTTGTATGTTATGTGCTGTTCCTCTCAGGAGATTGTACTGGAGCTGCAACCATTAATGGCTGTCTTACAGCTGAGGGACAGATCAGGAATAACAGCTCCCTCATCTCTTTCTGCTACACTTTAATTAAACTAGGGGAATAAAGATAGGCTATGACATATGTTCAACTGAGCTTTCTGCTGAAACAAAGAACATGCATGTACATGCAAGTGTAAATGTGAGCATGTGTACGCCTTCAGTCATTTTTATAGAACTGCAAGAGCAACCACAAAATTGAAAATTATAATATATATATATATATTCAATTCAATTCAAGTTTATTTGTAAAGCGCTTTTCACGATACAAATCGTTGCAAAGCAACTTTACAGCAAATTAAGTTTCTACAATATTTAGTGGTAGCTTATCAGTGGTGACTGTCAGTTAATGTACATATGGCAGAAATGTACGGAAAAATCAATTAAAAACGTAATCAAACAGACAATGAACACTATTAACAGCAATTATTATATGATGCAATCAAACAATATATATCATATATATATATATATATATATATATAAACATATGTTTCACGGTTTTCACAAAAATTTGAGCTGCACAACCATTTTCAACATTGATAATATCTCATGTAACACTAAAAACTGGATTTATGGCTGCTTAAAATTCAGTTTTGCCATCACAGTAATAAATTACATTTTAAAATATATTAAAATAGAAAACAGTTGTTTTAATTTGTAGTATTATTTCACAATGTTACTGTTTTACTGCATTTTTGATGTAGGCTTGGTGAGTATAAGAGACTTCAAAAACATATTTCTGAAACTTCTGAATGGAAGTGTGCCTTGAAGACTTTTCATGAATGTGGATTTCAGTTCACAACAAGTTATTTACAGTACCTGAAGTGGTTGTTTTTAAAGATGGCCTCGCTGTAGGCCAGAGCCAGAAGCCTGGGGCTTGTCTGAGCTGCTCCACCACTTTGGGTCACCTTACTTAGGTGTCGGGTCAGATGAACCAGGAGCTGGTGGTTAGCCTGAGGGACACTAGGAGAGTCAAGGATTCTTTTCAGCTGTTGTCCGCATTCCTCCATGCTTTGGGTTTCTAAAAGAGAGAGAGGGACTATGTTATAAAGGGCATTCAAATTGAGCTGATGGCACCACAAAAACACACACAGCTTTGACTGTCCTGATCTATGATGGGAAATGGAAGCAGACAGAGAATAATTTATGTAATTTTTGTGGTTTAAATGATTAATCTAAATAGAATACACTGATAATATTGAATAGTTGTCAATGGATAAGATGCATTTAGCAGCCAGATGATGCAGTACCGACATCTACCAGCAGGGACTAACAAGCTAAACATCCATCCTGTGGTTCTAATAATATAGGTGTCATCTGAACTCAGACAGCAGCACTGAACATTGGGGCACATTACAAAACCCATGACCTGGGACTGAAAAGTCAGCTCAGCAGGAGTTAAAGTGCTAGCCTAACATTGCCCTCGAGTCCATTGTCTATGAGCACCCACAAGGACAATGCAGTTATTGCGATAGCTTCCAACATACTGATGAGCTCCTTTGAGATGAGGTTTCCCACAGCAAAAAGGCCAGCATCTGTGATTCAAGCTTATTTTGAGCTAAAGTGTGCCCTGGTGACACAGCTAAGAAATTAGCATTTCATCCCTAAGTCCCTTACACACAATGAATATTTGTCTTCATCAGCCAAAGGAACACAGATACAGTCCGGATATCAATGCGAGATATCATCCAGTCTGGAAAGTACAGAACAAGGGGGAATTCTTTAAGAATGAAATGCTGATACCGCTGTTTATTCACAATGTATGCCTGATAATAACTCTAGTCACCATCATTTGATGAATAACTGCCACCATAATTGATAGAAAAAGTACACAAACATCTCTTTTAAACAAAATTTTCTATATGCTTTTCCACATGCATCCTTCAAGGACTTCAAAAATGAAGGAATTTAATTCATAGAGACATACGACTATGATTGTACAAAAAAAAAGTATAAAATTCATATTAAATATCTAATACATGTATTATATAATATGTAATAGTACAGTTTAATGTTTAAATAAATAAAACAAAACACAAATGAAGGTCTTAAAAATATATTTAAAAAAATAATATTTATAAGACCTCATACATGCCCTGGGCAATTATGATTGTAAGCCAAATGTAGACATTATTATATTATTTTATATTATATGATATGATATTATTTAATTTGTTTTGTATTGGTGGTTGAAAATAAATAAAATGTCATGCTACAAATCATAGTATTAACATAAATTTATTTTATAGTAAGTTTTCTTCATCCTTTGAGAAAATGTTTAACATGTACACATTATTTTCTCATTTCCCTTTAATTTTTGTTCATTTGAATGTTTCTAAATAATAGTCATAATTCAGTGTCAATGATGTCAGCTTGCAGACAGGCCAGTCCTGCAATACACTCAGTTAATCTTACCTGTCAAAACAACTTTCAATGTAAGTAAAGATTACTGCCTAAATGCTGCTCTCACACCCCCCAACAAACACACAGACTCAATCCCCTGCCAACCGCACTTCCTGCATGAATTATGATATGAACAAAGCCATTAAGGTGTGGTTAAGGCGCTTCTCCCATAGTGCTTATAGAAGATAAGTGCTAAGAGGTCAAAGGTTATGAGCAGTGGGTGGCAGGGTGTCGAATGATGAATGTCTGACAATCTGCCGATCAGAAAATGGGTCAGTACTTTGACCTTGGCCTGAGACTCACTGACCATTGATATAAGAGGGTTTCTATCTCTACAAGTTCTATGCATACACTCAGTAATACATGCACAGACACACACCCATGCCCCCAGTCTGGAGCTGGACAGTCGCACCAAACGCTGCCTCCTGGAGATTACCGATAGAGACTGACCCCTGTTCAATAAAGGCCAGCGTCATGGGCTGCAGGCCATGGCTGGGAACTTGGCCGAGTCCATCTGGACTTAGCACGACACAACCGGGGGAAGGGGAGCCCTGCAGACGGCCAATCACATTCCTGGAAGAGGGCATACTTGCTCCTGGCCAGCCAGATGGGCACCGGTGCTCAAGGCATGAGAGTTACCACTGAATAATGCTCTTAAAATGAGACTTAGACGCTCAATGGGATTCAACTTCTACCAGAAAAAGGACTTAATGCACTTTTCTTCTACTTAATAGAACTGTTATGCGTTCGGAAGCAAAAATGATTTGTCAAGTTGATTTGTGTTAGATTAAAGCTTGAAATTAATTAGATTTTTCTAACCTGCATCATAATACTCCTCATGCATCTTAAAACTCCTGGAGTTTTGGATAACATAATATATATAAAAAATGATTTAATAGTTTGAATCGGTGTGTTGATTAAATTAAGGATATCAAACAAAAGCATGCTTGATTTCACAGTTAAATGGATTTTATCCAGGCAAGAGGGAGGTAGAGTTTGGCATTGTTAAGGGCACCCCGTGACAAAGGGACTTTCCAGGAAAGCTTATTTGCCATAATAGCCCATTGATTCTTTAGAACGGTTAATGAACAAATGCTGATTATGCCATATTGCAAATATAGTGACTTTGCACTTGAAGACTCATTGGCACAATACAAAATGTATTGTAACCCCAAGTACATTATAGTGAGTCATTGCCTTGATTTATGTTCACTGCATCACAAAACTAATATTAGTTCCATTCTTTGAAGATGCAATATTAATTTAAGTAACTTACATATCAGCGCCAGCAGAACTGAAGACGGCTAATTAAATTATTAGGTATAAGACAATCAATCAAGTATGTTCCTATTGCATGATCTCAATGAAACTAATTAAACTGCAATTAGACTTACCACTCTATGGGACCAATCATGCAAATCAATAAGGACAATGAATGAATACAGAACAGATTGAAGGTATGAACAAATATGTTTAGTCAAAAAGAAGATTACTCCTTGAAATCCTAAAATTCAAGTAAGTAAATAAAAAAATATATAAAGGCAGTGGCTATTTGCACTAAGTGTAAAAAGCAATTAGATGCTATTTACACTAAGTGAAAATAGCATATTTTCTTAGCGATAGATGCTATTTACACTAAGTGCAAATAGCAGCATTTTTTTGTGATATGCTATTTACACTAAGTGCAAATAGCTATAGATTCTATTTACACTATGTTAAAATAGCAGGATTTTCTGCTATTTACACTACTTATTGCAAATAGTGGCAATTATCTGCACCTCAGTATTGCAGTACATTATAAAATAGTATGCAATAATAACTTATTGAGTGTAAATTTGAATTCAAATTATTAAATGGATGCCACCTTATTGGGACAATAAAGCCCTCCCTACACCTACCGTAACCCTACCCAGTACTTTATTTTCAACTTTTTGATTATTTCCTTAATTTTCATTGAAAATAAATGCTTTTCTGATGTGATTTGAAATTTGAAAAGGGAGAAAAAAGTTCACCAAAAGGCGGATTCGAACCCGGGTCGATCGCGTCAAAATAGCCGGGTTTCCATCCAAAGTTGCGAATTTAACTTGTGCTCAAAACTGGAATATCGCATAAAACATTTGCGAACAAGCATCGTTTCCATCCAACAAGTCAAAGAGAACAAAATCGTCACTTCCTGATAAACTGGCACTATAAATCACTAAGAAAAGTAGGAGAATATAATAATTTTCATATATAATAAATTACTTGCGCCTCAGAACGAGCAGACGAAACACAATGAATGTGGTCATTGCTTTCGGAGGTGGATGCTGCTGTTTGGGAACGCAGTCGTGTAAGACATTTCTGGGAGGCAATTATACAGAAATACTTTGATGACAGACTTTGCTCGTGCATTTCCGAATGACCATAACAACATTTCAGATGCTGTGGAATGAGATCGGTCCGCTGGTTAGTCAGGTTTTGCCGTCCCATAGCGCAAAGTCCCATGACTTTTTTGATGCGCTTGGAGGAATTTATTCGCAAAATGCATTTCCATCTCCCATTCTTCGCAACCCTTTTTCGCACAAGTCAAAAACCACCTCAAGCGAGCATAAAAACTTTTTTTGCGAATTAAGGTATTTTTATTCGAAATTTGGCATTTCCATCACTCATTTCTCATGCCATACTTCAAAATGTGCATTAAAATAGGGTGATGGAAACATAGCTAATGAGTACTCCACACGTTTTACCATCTGCACCACTGGAGCTGACGACTGTCGACTGTCTTTTATAATGTTGACTAGCCGAATCACACGTTGGTGGGTGGAGTTAGTGGAAATAGCCTCTGCCAACAAGGCGGGCTATTTGCACTTAGTGAAAATAGACACTCCGATAAATAACTAAATAATAAAACTGCCAAAATTGATCGTAGTATGTATTTTTGTAATTTTCAATAAAAAATACCTAAATGCCTTCAAAACAATATACATTTAGCTGAGATTTGAAAATTATATATATTACATAGATGGCTCATGCCTAAAACAAACTGGAATGGAAAATACATTTATTTTATTCTCAGAAAACAGCACCTTTTTTGAATCTTAAGCAAAGTTTAGATATTTTAAAGAGGAAAATGAGAATTTTGCATTGTTTATCCTTAAATACTATTCAACCACTATATTTAAGGATACAAGTTGTCTCAAGGCTGCAAGAATTTTCAGGCATCAGAAACATGATGCGGCAATACTCAGTGAGGGTGCTTACATAATTCTATTTGTCCTTACAAAGTCAGGCAACACTTACAAGCAACCAGGGATGCCTAAAAGATGGGACAGACTCTGTGTATGCTTGCTTCATTTTCAGTGGGTGTAATGCAGAGCAAGGTCAGAGAGAGATGGTGTGAACCTACCCTCCGGCATAGTAGCACCCCCACTAATACATAAACATACACATGCACACTCTGCCTCTTTCTATAACACTACTTTCGTTCTCAGCCTTTCTCAAGCCTCTTCTGCCAACTGAACATTTTGAGCATTAATATGTCGAAGAGAACAAACATACTCACCTATTTTAGTTGTGCATTTTATGCTAGGAGAATTTAAACATTTAAATTCTGACATCATTTATTCGCTCGAATGTAGTTTCAAGCCTTGATGACTTGTTTGAAGAGTTGTACTGGATGATAACAATAAAGAATGGAGACTGAGGCTTTCAAGCTCCAAAAATGATTTAAAAAGCTTCAAAAAGCATAATAAAAGTGATCCTTTTCTCTATTTCAAAATTTACTTCCATCATAGACTTTTCGAGTTCATTAGAGATACAGTTCAGCACTGACTAATTTAGAAACAAACCCACTGAACACTGATCCATTTCTCAAGAGATTATCAGTGAATCTCGACTTCCTCACTTAAAGCAATTGCACGAAGAAATATACCGTAAAATGGTGGTCTTTAAATGTTTTGTGCTGGGCTCCAGCGGACAGCTTACCCTGAGCAGTGTAGACCAGCTCGCTGTACACTACAGCTGGTATGAGCAGGCAGGGCAAGTCCTGAATGTAACTCTTAAGTGTATCAGCCAATGTAGACAATTCATATTGCTCAAAGTCCACTGCTGCTGGGTCTGAGGGAGAGAGAGAGAGAGAGAGAAAGAAAGAAAGAGAAAGAAAGAAAAAGAGAGAAAGAGAGAGTATGGTTAATTATAGGCACCCAGAGTACTTTCTCCATTATTTACCCTTCCAAACCATGTGCCCTTGGCGAAACCCTATAACAATTCACTTACAGTGGTGGTCAGATCCCCTGACCATTCCTGCACCCTCTGGGTACAATGATCCAGTCACAAGCTTAACAAAGACAGTAAATTTGAGTGGAAGTCTCCCAGTCAATAACTCAAAGCCTCAGATAATGGCAGCTTGGAAGACTGCAATTATACAGTTGTAATTTTAAAAGGCCCTTCATTGTGCTAAAATTATAATGGCATATTGATGTATTGAAAAGGTGTAAAAGGCGCTGACAGAGCTCTCACATATTTCAGATCAGAGCTTTTTCATTTATAGTTTGGGTATAATTGCAGATTTATAAATATATTCTTACTGGACAATCCACAATGTCTGCAGGATGTTGCACAGTGAAAACATGTTTTTAGAAAGTGAATAATGTAGGAAAAAATGTAGACGATCAGAAGCATGTGAGTAATTTTGACACATTCATTGCACATGTTGGACATCTGGATAGTAAAGTCTGTAGCAAATGAGACTTCAGCTTAAAAATCACTCATGAATCATTTATGATTCATCTCTCTCTCTCTTTTCTGTACTTAAAGGAAATAAATGGATAGTCTAGGTAAAGTAAGGACAGGATTTTAACAGAAAAAGCCCTTAGTGTGGGGAAAAAAAAAACGAAAAAAAAAACGCTGCATATCCAGCTAGTGTTCATTTATACATTAGTTTTTGTTTCATTCATGTTCTTTATTATTATTTTTTTCTATTATTTTTTAATTAATGGTTGTATTCAAAGTTTGCCTGAGCTCAATTAAAAATGTACAAGCATATTATATTATAATATTATTAATATTATAAGCATTTTATACATATACAGTACTGTGCAAAGTCTTAAGACCATTAATATTTTCACCAACAAAAGAAAAAATGGTTTTAAGACAGTTATCTCTATCTTTTGCTGTAGTGTGTCAGTAGGAAACATCAGTTTGCATTTCCAAACATCCCTTTTGTCATTAATTGTAATAATCCAGTGAGATTTTTGTTTGCACAATAATAAATGACTTGAAACCATTTTTTTTGGTGTAAATATTAATGGTCTAAGACTTTGCACAGTATTGTGTGTGTGTGTGTGTATATATACTGTATATATATATACAATGTGTGTGTATGTGTGTGTATATATATATATATATATATATGAGGGCTGTCAATTGATTAAAAAAACTAATTAATCAAACATTTTTTTCTGAAATTAATTGTGATTAATCCCACCTAACATTAAAGTTTTTAAATATTCTTTTATATTGCAATAATTTCACATTCATTCTTCAAATTAATGTAGAAAGAACATTAAGACAGTATAGTTTTTAATATTTGTTTAATGGCATCCTTTTTATGACTGAAGGTGAGTATCAGTTCCAGATGTATACCACATTATTATTATTTTTTCCTTAGTCTTACTTATTTAAATGTTCTTTCTGTTCTCATTGTCATATATGTTTGTACCAACACTCTAAAAAATGCTGGGTTGTTTCAACCCAACATTGGGTCAAATATGGACTAACCCAACTGTTGGGTTAAATTTTTACATTACATTTTTAACCCAAAAGTTGGCTTAGTCCATATTTTACCCAAAGTTGGGTTGAAACAACCCAGCATTTTTTAGAGTGAAGAACTCCTAAAAAACCCACAACAAATTCCTTGTGTGAATAAAGCTCATTCTGATTCTGATCACTGATAACAATACTAGTGATATCTCAAGGAAATTGTTTTTTTCTCCTAATATTTAACCATTGACTATAGCTATTCAGCATTACAGTATAATTGAGAGCTATCAATTTGATCATTTATTAGACTTTAAAAAATAACAACTTATAATTGAAGTGAACTTAAAACAATCTTCACATAAACCTAAATGCAAGAAGGAAATATACAGAAATTGAATAACGTTAACAAACACTACATTCTAAATTAAATATAGATAAATACTTAAAGCTACAAAAGTTATTGCTTTCTTCTTTTTTCTTTTGTTCTTTGATTAACAGACATCACAACAGCTGGGTTATTAGGTTATTTTGGCTGCTTTAAGAGCTGCCGCTGCTGAACATGACGCGGGTCTGACACGCATCATATTTTCTCACAACTCTTTACCTTTTCTGAACAGGGGTGTTGCAAGGGTCGGAAGAGATAAGGGGCTTAGCCTTTGAGAAAAAGACAACCCCCCCACCCATTACATGTGGCTACTGATGAAATCAGTGTTTATATACAAACTATGAACTATTATCCCCGTACTTCTCTGATTATTTTAATGTTTGTAACACAGAAATATTGAACAGTGTCATCGATTGTACTTGTCAAAGGTTTAATATTTTAGTGGAATCGTTGTCATTTAGGAATAAGATTGTGTGGGGGATTGAATCGAGATTGCGATCTGCCTATTTAAACATAAAACAAGGACTTCAAAGATGTCTTTAGTGGAATGAACATGTAAGGCAGGGCTGTACGTTAACTTTTATTTGCATATAGCACTGGTGCTACAGAGGTTGAAAGGTTTGTAGCACAGGCCACACAATCGTAGCACAAGAATAAAACATGTTACCATCTCCAAAAACAACCACAAGTATTGCAGTTCATCACCTAAACAGGACATAATGTTCTAATATTATTACTATATAAAAAACATTAAACAAAATAAGAAATATCACTATTGTAATAACACTGTTTCAATGTAATAATACATTTAATAATAGAACTCATGACGTTCCAGGAAATCCCTTATATGGACAAAGGCATCCAGCTGTCGCTGTAGCTGAGTAAAATGCAGATAGAGAAGTTTTACCTGATAAAACATCAATACAATAAACATACGATTGTGACAAAATATGGTTTATCTCTGTTCTTCAAGCCATCTCGGGTATTTTTAAAAGAATAAAGTATTTATAATGCAGTTTTAATCGACTTAGCCTTCTATCACTGTATAGAATCAAAGACCATAGAATACTTAACGGGACTTAGAATACTATAAAAGTATGATTTCTGCCTCATTCTCTGATGTGAAACCACAGCAGATCACAAAAGGAAGTTATTTTAAAGGGGTCATATGATGTTGCTAAAAAGAACATTATTTTGTGTATTTGGTGTAATGAAATGTGTCTATGCGGTTTAAGGTAAAAAAAACCACATTATTTTCCACATACTGTACATTATTGTTTCTCCTCTATGCCCCGCGAAACGCGTCGATTTTTACAAAGCTCATCGGTCTGAAAAGCGAGGTGTGCTCGGATTGGCCAGCTATCTAGTGCGTTGTGATTGGCCGAATACCTCAAGGCAATCCACAGCACTAAGTTGATGTATTTCCTCAGCGCCCAGCACGGATCAGCTCAAGGCATGACGAAGCGGATATCGTCCTCTTTTGGAAGGCCAAACAAAGCAGTTTTGCTTTCACAACGAAACACACAGCGCCTTCACGACATGGCGGCGGCGGCAACAACAATACTACAGCAAGAATAAAAGTTACGCCTTCTTTCTTTGCGTGAACATTTGGGCGGCGTTATGCAAATCTTCCCACATCGTGATGTAGACATGTGGGGGCGTGTTAGAACGAGCCGTTTTAGGTAGGCGTGGTTGACTCTTAACTTTTATAAAGAATATCTCTTTGGATTTGAGACTTTAGTCTTTGCAACTTTACTGATCTTCTTTATGCACCAAGAGCTTGTAACACTCCAAAAAGAGAGGAAAAATTGAAATCGCATCATATGACCCCTTTAAACACTTGACTGATGTTAATAAGTGAATTTGGACTAAAAACATGTCATTAAATGTTTTCTTTGTTTGACAACAGATTTGTAAACAGGCTCTCACACATTGCAAAACTGTATCGCATGCGTGCTACTAAATTTATTCATTACACAGACATCTACTGCAGACAACATTTTCCATCTTCAAAAAGATCAGGGGCTTTTGACAAAACATTAACAGATTAGCAAAGGAGATTAATAAAGGAGTTGCCCAGTTGTACACCAACAGGAAAGCTCTGAAACAGAAAGAGGTCATGTGTCATTTGCAAACCTGAGGAGGTGCTTGAAGCCATTCACCTCTCTTCACCTCTTTAATTCTTCACTGCTTTCCAACATCCTATGCCATTTCAGTATCAGAAAAGTGACTGACCTCCATGGTTAAATTGCAATTGCATTGATCGTCCCTCTGACTAATTGTAAAATAGTTTCCCTGTGATCACGTTCAAGTGAAATCAAAAACCCATTAAGCTTTGCTGATGACCATCTTTCTCTCCAAATGTGATTAGTTTGTTGACTTGCCGTTATGCCTGCTTCCAATGCAAAGCTTCAAGATATTCTGGGTATTCCAGATGAACCAGATAAATATAAAACAAACTGCTAGAGAGGGACTGACAATGGCAGCAGGTGATATCATAGACCATAAATTACCCGATAAGCCCATTTCACAGTAACAGAAAAATAAATAAATACACGTTGAACATTAAAAATAAACAATTGTATTTGTTGATAGCCTTTTTTCTTGAACATACTTTGGTGTAGTATACAATGATGATAATGAATTAAAAATTTTGAGCAATTAAAAACAATTAGGACAGAAAACAAGAAGCAATATTTTAGATTTTCACTGTTTATAGGTCACTAATAAAATGCAGTGGGGGAAAAACATGTAAGGTCTTTAGACAGATTTTATTAAAAGTTACTTAAAAGTAACTTAAGCTTTCCAAAATGTGTGAAATTCATGAACAAGACACTACAAAAATTGCCAGACCACAGCGCAATGATCTGTGTATGGCATGTTTACATAGAAAAACAATGGAAAATCAGTGCAGTGAAAGGCAAAAACTAAGTGTTCCATGTGAATGAGCTTTTAAAATAACAAACGTAGG